CGCAACGAGACCCTACGCAAGTCTTGCAACCATACGCTGCAGACAAGGTAGAACAACAAGAAACTGTTTCAGTCGGGCATCAACAGGGTGCCGTTTCTGCAGTCCAGCAACGACCTTTTCCGCAACAGCCCTTCTTGCTGCCTCGCGCACTTCATGCTTGGCAGCAGCGATTTCAGCGGCTTCACTGGTTGTGCGGGGTGGTTGAGATAATAGAACAACAAGAGCGGGATTGTGAGACTCGCTATAATTCACCTCCTCGTTCTCGTCTTCGTCTGCACCAATCTGAATGTTGTCGTTCAGATTTCTATCAGGATCGTTCATTGCGTCAATTATTGCCTTGTCCTCAGGTACGTTTTGGGCATGCGATAACTGATTGTGGATCTGAGGAATTTTGATTTGGTCACGGATCTGAGGAATTTCATCAGCCATCTCAGATTTTCACGGAATCGCTTCAAAATTGTTGAAAAAAGTATGGGCGAATCTGAGATAAGATGAAAACAATTAGTCACAAATATGATAACATAAAATCGAGATCGCATTCGAGCCTCACGTGGTACGCAATTTCCTTGAAGCAAATTCGACCGTCATCAATCGCCTCTCAGAATAAATCGATTCTAACAGAATTACAGATCCCGCGAACCGAATCAGAAATTTTGGAAGAGTTTTTTACTTCAGAGAAATTTTTTGGTTTTTGTTTTTTAAGAGCACTTTGCGAGAGAAAAAGAAGTTAGGGTGTTTTGGCTAGAAAACGGTTATGTTATATAAAATTTAATGTGAAGTTTTTATTTATTGCGATTGGGCCTGGCCCGTGAGCCCTAAGGTTCAATCTTGACTATATATATATAAGCCCATTTCAAGAGTCCATTCCTTCCAATCCAATTTATCATTTAATGAGACCACATCATTCATTAAGTACGAGAGATTTGTCTCCTCCTCCAATGTGAGACAATGATTACTTGTTTTTCTCTTTTCATTTCCTACACCAAATACCAACACTTGTATCATGTTTTCCTATATATTTTCGAAAGAGTGGAGTTTGTAATATTAAAAATGTAATTAAAGAAAGTGATAATTTTCTTCTAATTCTAACTTAGCCCTCTTCTTGGGAAAAAATTGCAAAAAAAAATCATTTATATATACTAAATTATCACTTTTATTTTTTTATTTACCTCGATGGTAAAATATATTTTGCGTATTTTCAAAATTTGCATTTTTCGTACCTGAGTCGTGCGTGATCTTCATGTGCTACACAATTTCACATGCTTTGGTCCTATCCAATGTTCTAAAGCCACGTGGCAAACTCTAAGTACAAAAATACAAATTATAGCATATATTTTTGTCAGTGAAATAAATTAACATAATTATATAGTTTTATAGATTTTTTAATAAACAATTACACAATTATATAATTTTATAAATTTTGTTAAAAAATTTATTAATCTAATTTTTTTTTTTGTTTATAAGTCTATTCTATCATTATAAAAAAAAAAAAATATGATGATGTATTTTTAATATTTATATATATATTAAAATATTAAATTTCATTATAACAAATTTGGAAAATTCAATTATTAACTTAAATAATATATATGACAAAATAATATATTTTAAAGAATTAATAATAAAAATATTTCAAAAAATAAATTTAAACTTATGTTTTTCATACTCCAGTCATGCGTGATCTTCGTAATTTTCGTGTGTGAAAAATTATGCTTACTTATCGGTATTGCCTTAATTTTTTTTTTAATTTCATAAAATAAATTTAATAAAAATATTATGCAATTTATAAAATTATTACTGATTTTTAATATATTTTAAAATTTAAAATATTAAAAAGCAACATAAAATTATAAATTTTCCTACACATATTAGATTTATTAAATAATACTTTAAAAAAAATTGCAATATCATGTTAATCGGTGATAAAGTAACTTTTTAACTATTAATACAAAAATAATCAAAATTTAAAATAATCACATTTATAAACACTTGTAAGAAATAATATATACATATATATATATAATAAAAAAATAGAGTAGTATATAAAAATACAAAATATAAAAATTATAAATATAAATTATTTGGTGAATGTCTTAAATTTAAAATTATTATGCAAATTTGAACTAGATAGTTAATTGAAGTAGAAAACAATAAAAAGAAAAACAAGTAGAAAGAAAATAATTTTATAAGATGAAAACTAATAAATACATAAATAAATAAATAAAAGAAAAAATAAATATATTTGTTAGAGTAAGTGTCTCCGCTGGATTACCTTTATTATCTCTCCAATTGACGTCATATTCCTATCAATAATCAATTACTTCTTTAACATCCGTTATATATCATTATCTTCACCGTGTTACCTTTACAATTTTATGAAATTTATAATAATTACTCCATCTATCCTACTTATAATGACATATTTTTCATTTTCGTCGGTCTCACATATTATGTCACTTTTCTTTTTTGATAAAATATTAAACATTTTAATCATATTTTGAATTTTTTAAATTTTTATTAGACTAATCAATTATCTTGACATTGGTATATAATTATTTGTATTATATAATAATTAATTTTACTAATATATTTTTAATTATTTATTAATTATATATCTCCTAAATTCCTATGTCACAGCAACATTGACACAATACCTAGGACGGAGGGAATATTTATTTTTGTATATTTTTATTGTCTAATAATATATAAATAATACTCCCTCCGTCCCCAATCTATCTATCTATTTGCTTTTTGCACGGAGTTTTAGAAATATTAGTATTATATTATGATAAAGTAGAAATAAAAGTAAAAATACTAAATTAACCCTATTAGTATTGTATGATATAAAGGTAATGGCATTTGTGTAATATATTGTAAATTAGAAGGGTATTTGTAATGTTAGGTAGATAGTATAATTACTAAAAAAAGAAACGGATACTTTGTTATGGGACGGACCAAAATGGAAAAATGGATAGATTGTCAAGGGACGGAGGGATGTATTACTATCTCCGTGCGGTTCTAAGGGTCTCATTTACTTTTTCTGTGTTGATATTTGAACATTAATTATTATATGAAAACGTAGTACAAATCAAAGAAAAATGACAAAAATATTTCTATTAGTGTCTTATAGTACTATTATCATGACATTTGTGCAAAAAATTATATAAATATAAGAATATTTTTAATGTTAAGTACAATAATACAAAAGATTAATGAGATCCTTAGAGCCGGACGGAGGGAGTATATAATATTATATTTTAATTTAAAAATATTAATTTATATAAATTGTAGTAATATTATATAATTTTTATTATTATTTTAAAATATTAAAATTGTTCAAATTTGTGAAATTATGATACTTGAAAACTTGAATGATTGGAAAGAATTTTGATTTAATACATATTTCTTGAAAATTTTTCATTTTCAGCAATTTCATTCATTCATTAAAAAGCTAGTTGAAGAAATATTAATATAAAAATTTGAAAAGAAAAATAAATGTTGAAATTGAATATATAAAAAAATATATTTAAAAATATATACATAAACGTGATATTTTGAAATAAATTTAAGTTCTATTTATATAAATAATTATTGATAATTTAAATTTTTAAAATTTAGGTAATAATTAATTAAATATTTATTTTTTATGATTTTTATTAGAGATAATGAGATAAATAGGAGATAAAAACAATAATATATTTCAAATTGTACCTCATGATTAATTGCTTTTTGTGAAAGAAATGTCTCATTCTTTCTACCATAGCACTTGTGGTTAAACTCCAACTTCAGTGGGCAAAAGTTCTACTCCCTCCATTTTTTTATCAAATTATCCATTTCTTGATTTTGGTACGTTTCGTAACATAATATCAATTTTTATTTTTAGTAACTGTACTATCTACTTAACAAACTAATAGATAAATATAGGACAAAGGGAGTAATTGCTTTTCCTATACGAAATTATATATTAAGATACTCAATATTTTTCAATATATATAATGTTTATATTATAATTGTTAAAATAATATTTGAAAGAAAATAATATATTGCATTAATAATAAAGTCCAGCCCTATTTATAGGCATAGTCCAAAATGAATAAAAGCAAATAATAAAATAAACAAATAATTAATAATAATAAATATTTCAACTTCCCCTTAAACTCAAGTAGGCCTAGTACTAGGAAGAGTAAGAACATTTAGATAATTTTTTCTCACTACAATTCTCACACAAATGACCTCAAACAGGGACGGAATTACATTAGGATTTGAGAGGTCAATTGCCAAATTTTTTATAATTTTTTTAGTATTAAAAATATTAATTTTTATATATTTATATACAATTTGTCCCCTCCCTCCCAAACTATCTAAATTAATATATAATTCTATCATTATTACTTATTTAAATTTATTACCTAAATATTAAATAAATTATAACATTTTGCCCCCCGAAATTTAGATGCTAGTTTCGTCAATGATTCTAAAGCTGAATGTCAGTTTTGAGGAATGCACATTTGCTTGAATCAATTCTCCGACTAAAATTATTTGTCAAGTCTATACTGATATATATAAATACAATTATTGTATAATGAATAAACTGAAAGCATAACCTCAATCCCTCACATAAAGAAATTAAAATATTTTGAGTTTGGTTTCAGATTCAAATTAGAGTTTTGATTTGCATTAGGGTGTAAAAGAATATTTTGATATAATATTTATGATAAAATAATATATTTTTATTAAAAATCGTATAAAATTAAATAATAATAATTTAAAATTGAAACTCAAATCAAACAAACGTGTAATAAAGTACATGTAGTGTTTATAGCATACATACATTTAACTCTTTGACAAGGTTGTTTAGTTAATAGTTTTTGGTCCATTTTTGGCTTGCATGTTTTTATTTGAAATATTATATATATTAATAAAAACAATACACACAGAAGGTTAAAAGAAGGGGGAAAAATTTAAGAATAAAGAAAAATAAATTTAAGAACACCCATGATTTAGAGTATAGATAGTACTTTCTTGGAGCAAAAATATTTTACTATACAAACACACCCTCTATAATCTTGACATGTTTAAGACAAAGTAATCTATAAAAACCCCATTTCATAGTTGACAACGATAGTCATATACAACCAATGGTGGTACCAATAAAGACCTCAATATGGTAATGCATAGAAAAATATTATACCACATAAGTTAGGGAAGCCCATAAAATAACAGATGGAGAAGATCAAACCTGAACTATATTACTACAGGTTTCCAGCCAAAGACTGCAACCTGTGAAACCGTTGAGCCAGTGCACGATGATCATTGCTTTGAAACACCAAAATAAGCGAGCGGACTGTTTTCAAAATAATATCTCTTTTTTGGCGAGTAGACACGGACGCAACATCTTTCCCCTCATAACTTGTTTCCCCAATAGATGAGCATACATCTTCAATCCAGGCCTCGAGAAACTGTGCTTTCTAGAAATGGAAAGAAGAAAAAATATGAGTTAGGGGGCTTTTAATACTGAGAATGAAATTGCATATAAATGAAAATAGAGAATGGAATTGGAAAGAAATGGAATTAGTAGAGAATGAGAACTAATTCTTTTGTTTGGTAAAACAGTGAATTCAGTTGAGAAATGTGAAAAAATGCAACTATATGAATGAATCAAATAAGAATAAATGATTAACCGAAAAAAAAAAAAAAAAGAAGTTTTACGAGTAAGAATTTATGAAAAATATTTTTGGTGACTTTTTTTAAAAAAATTTATAAATTATATAAGACGTTTTTTAAGAGTATATTTAGTACAATTTCTTTAAAAATCGTAAAAATTAAAAAAAAATATACTACAACATCATTTCTCTCAATTTCTTTTCATATGGGATATAAATGAAAACAGATAATGGAAATAATTTTTTTCTCAAGTTTCATTTCTCTTACACAAAAAAACAAGAGAAATATACCAAACACAACCTTAGGGTAATAGAGTTCAACTAATGATAATGGAAAGCTAATAAAAGAAAATAGTCAATACAAAAGCTATAGACAGAAACACGCGTACACATTTCCCCTACATCTCTGCTCAATGGACCATATCATATGACAGCTAAGAATCAGGCAAAATGCACAATCGGGAACTATGAATCCACAATAACAGAAACAGAAATGCTTTTATGCACGCGCTTACCTTGATCAGGAAGTTGTGTGTGTCTCGGTGGTCACATTGTGAAGCAAGACCAAGCAGATGCAGCACAGTTGAAGTCAACTGTAACAAAAAACAGGGATCATCCGAATAGAGGTAAGTCCCGACCAGTTATAACTGAATTTCCAAATCATCCAAGTAAATGAAAAGAGTTGCAGCCATTTCTTTTATTAATAAAGAGGAGAACTATTATTTCCTTTAGACTCATACCGATGCTATCAGATTCAAATTCATAATATGCAACTTTACTGTATTGCGTACTCTTTTGTATTCATCCCTAAGTTTATCATATGCTTTGATTTTATCAAATAATTGAAATTACAGATCGCTTATATATGTCCAGGCATTAAACCAAAATTTTATCATGTTTGTAAATTTGGCTTCATGAAACACATAGCAAGAACAGTAGCTGACCTGTTTTTCAAGCGCCATTAAATATTTGAAGTTTGAAGGCTCTGAAATCCGATCGGATTTGAAGTTCTCCGTTACATGCACCACAGTCTTAACAATGTCATAATAAGATTTACCATAATCTGCGGCACAAGAAAACCATCATCAGCATCATCATAATAATAATAATAACAATAACAGCATTAGCAATGGCAAGAGAGAGTAACTTAACAAGATTCAAAATATCAAGATGCTTAAAATGTGTGTGTATGTGTATACACATATATACCAAAATCTTTCAAGCAGACCAAGGACTTAGCTCAAATTTATAAAAAAGATAACTTTTGCACTATTTGACTACAAGAATTGTGATAATATTTTGTTGTCATGTTAGAACTATTGATTTTGGTTCTGTTTACAAAATTACTCATGTTTAGTCTATTTACAAATTCATTATTGTACCTCCATAAATACCATGTGTCAGGGGCGCCTTTTAGGAGCATGGTGGGCAACTGCTCAGGGCCCTTAATTAATAGAGGGCCCATATTTTAAAATATTATTTATTATTATTATTAAATTTTAACTTTTAGTTTATATTTTTTTTTTCATAATTATCTTATTTAATTTTAAACTCCAATAATATATTCTTTCTTATCTCTCTTTCCTAACCATGTCTTACCCATCTTTCCAAATTCAATCATCTATACTTCTTTACCTCACACCCACTTCTTTACCTCACACCCTATTCGCACTGTATCCACCCACTCAGTCACCAAACCTGTCCCACCTTCTCTCTTCTCTCTCTTTCACCCACAGTGCTTTCATCTTTTTTTCTCAAATCGACACTACCCAGATTGTCACTTTTAACCTCTTGTCTAATCGACGTCAGACGCGATATTATTTGAAAATAGATGAGAGTCTATAATTTATTTTTGCTCAAAGCCTCAAAAAAGTCAAGACGGCCCTGCCCTGAGTTATCAATCTCAATGGGAAAGCACAGTCATAAATTTCTAACACTACATAATTAATTAGAGCTCAACATAATGACTTAATACACAGGATATTAAGGACAATGTAAAATGTTGAGGAAGATTATCCATCAGCTGAACAAAAATGGCATCCATTAGAATCCATATCACTTTATGAGTAATGAAGTAAACCGTGTTCCACAGGATGAAAACTTTTGACCTGGTATGTGGTCTACCCAAGCACCAATAGTTCTGCAAAACTGTTATTATTGGAACCCCTCAACCAACTCAGGCTTACAAAATGTCCTTAAGAAGCATAAATTTTACATAGTATTTTGTTTTCCTCAAAGTGGATCGAGTAATTACCAAACATTCAAAAATAAATATGGCTTTTGCTGAATTAGTGCATACTTATAATTTAACATTTCGTCTCGTAATAAATCTTCCTACAATCCTTAGATGCACCATTCTCTGCTCCTGTGCAGAGAAGCTAGACATGTTACCTTGTGCATCTGATAGCCTCTCCACACTCAATCAAACAGTGCTAGAACATAATGAAAAATATATCAACTACTTCAAGAATAAGGCTAAGATAATAATACAGAATAACTTAAAAATTACAGCATAAATTTGATTTCAAATGAGGATAACCAACCGTATGCTCTAATAATTAGTCAATCAAGATAAACAAACTTCCATAAAGAATAAACACATTTATTATATAAAATGTGGCGAATCAAAATTCCTGTGGTGTTTAATAAAATCTAGAGAAATGCAAAAGAAATATATTAAATCTCTGAACATCCACAAAAAGAAGAGATTGAAATTAAGAAGTAAAAAGACAAGAAAAAATAAAAATAAAATTGTGATGGAGTCAAAAAAAACATTGAAAAGCCATCACAACATTACCATCTATGGTTTCCAGAACAGCCAAAGCAGCAGCAGCTTGTATTCTGATCTTAAAATTTGCAGAATCTCGAAGGAGTAGCAACAGGATGCTAAAAAGAGAAGGAGCCCTGCAAAATGATAAGCAATCTTAAGTAATCGTGATCAATGAACTGTGCCAATATATGGGATATGCCTTGTACAGTTCTTTTTTACCTTATACTACTGAAACCTAATCCCTATGATGTTTAGAGAACTACCAAGAATTGATAAATGAAAATATGAATATAGATACTGGACTAGATTTTGATCTAGTCAAATTTTCTAACTGATGAGGAGGTATTGCGATTCCTCAACTCCATGCAGTCAACTGTAAATTTTCTCTAAGTACACTGATGAAGATCTCCGACCATGTTTAATGATTATGAAAAGTTCTTACACTGTAAGAGGTATATAGTATAGATGACTTTGTGCTACCTGAAATACCGAGAATTGCAGAACTTATGCACACTCTATTTATTTATAGTAAAACACTCTATTCAAAAAAGGCCCAAGCCACAATTGCTATTTAGCTAGTCAAGCTCACAAGTCTAAAGATATTTCCATCATATTGCCACAGATAAAGAAATGAAAATTTTAAAACATGGGCGGCTAACTCCCTGCTCACTAGGATGTGTATCAGAAATTGTAATGGAGAAGATGACATCAGAGGTGTCGCTATAAAGCACTCTCAAGCACCATTTTCTGCTGTATTGAAGATTGAAATAGGATTAGCCCAAAACTCAAACAGGAAAGAGAACTCTAATTTTTAAAGGAAGACGACTTATTTTCTACTTATGGACAACAAACTAGATATAGTTTCTATACATAATATCAAAGTTAGAAATCATAATACAAGTTTTTAAAACAAGTTCAAAATCCAAAACATCAAGGATGATAATCTGTATGATACTTACAAAACTTTGAATTCATCCCTTCTAAGTACTGTATTCTACCAAGAGACACTACAACAATGAAAGTGAAAAGATCATTGAAGCTTCATCATTTCTCACAACCAATTGTTAGCCTGCCTCTATATAATAGAAAATACCATGCTTAAATTACAAAGTGAACCTACTAGAGAGGAAAAACAATGGTGGATCTCTTCATTTTTCAACCAGAACTCCTAGCAGTTATCCCAGCACATAAATGTAAACTTCACCGTCACTACAAGAAAATACAACATAAAAGCTACAATCCTTACCAATCCATGTCATGCAGTTTTAATGTTTTGTTGATAAATAAATTGCTTAGCGCATGGCATACATTCCACTGAACCTGTAATGTTCAGTTTCAAGAAACTCTTTTTAGATAACACTTTAACCAGAAATTATGAGATATAACTCTTAACAATGCACCAGACCTTCACATTTCCAGTTGTCACACAAGACAGAAATGCCTGAACCATCTGCTCAAGCCAATAAAAACTCGTAGGAGATGTCATTAGCAATGAATCTGAACTCTGCCTTACATCATTCTTGAATACTGTTGCCCCATTTTGTGTTTGCTGAAAATCCACTGGATCGCCATGGTGAAGTGGTTGCTTTGTGAATTGAATAACTCTTGAAAGGTTTCCAAGAGCTCTAACAGCATTAGCCTTGACCTTTAGAACATGCAACATACTCCTGTTAACCAAGGTTCCAAAGAAATTTTGGGGAAAAGGTTCTCGTATCAAGTACCTTGTCATTATCCCTAGCAAGCCGAAGAGCACAGTCAAATAGCGACGATATAAATTGAGGGCTTTTGCCTGACTCTGCCACAATAAAATAAATTAATACAAATGAGAAATCAAACTCAATATTTACTATGGAAATGGTAAGAGATTGCTGGCACACCAATTGAACTTCCAGCATTGAGTGCCTCCATGTAATGGCCAATGGAGCTACATACATTTGCTAAGGCCCATGAAGCTGTGATCCGAACCTGAAACTCAGCATTATATTTAAAGAGAATTGGCAAGATGAAGAAAGCATCATATAGAATGCGGATATAGTTCTGAATCAATACTCAAAATGAAAATAGAAGATTCATCCATTATTACTTTGTTTTCTTTTATAGCACTAGCCCCTACTTGCCACTTAGCATTTGGTGGACTGGCCACGAGGTTGTTTCACATCCCAAACTTGATTCAAAACAGTTCGACCAAAGAGAGAGTTGGAAACACACAAAAACTTACTGAAACTACTGAATCAAAAGCATTGTGCTTGATAGCATGGATAAAATTCTCCATGACTTCTATGCTGCAAAACACAAAATAATTGAGAATTATTGCTCATTGCCAGTTACCACACAAGCTTAATGCAGAGTCTCAGCATTATTTACCTACGGTATATCTGTGGGAAACATGCAATAACACCAATGGCTCGACAGGCAGCAGACCTCACTTGAGAAACTTCATCATTAAGAGCAGCATCACTCTACAAAAATCAAAAGAATTTAAGAAAAGGTAGTGGATTCTTTTAAGTTAAAACAATAAGTTAGGATTATTATCTGAGGAAATGGCAAATATTACTTGACATTTTAAAAGAGAAAGGGGAGCTTTCATAAACAAAGAGAGTGTTCTTCACTCCAACGAAGATAAATAGTTTGGGGGTTCCAGTTGAACTTACTAACGAACTTATAATAAAGTCCTGTTTGTCTTCGGGCAGGGAAAAGAAAACAGAGGAAGTCATTCCAGCAAAACAGGTCATCGCTGCAGCCCTCACCTTTCACAGAGACATAAAATGTAAGAACAACTTGCATTTCCAGGCTTGTAAGGTGTAGTATATGTACTATCAGTTGCACATATACAATGCGACACAAATACACTGGTAAAACATCTGGAATCAAATTGACTTTCTAACCATTTTCAAAAGAACATGAAATGAATTCACTAAATGAAAGACTGAATAGCAGAAATAAGCAACAAACCACTCATAAAAGGTTTACCAGCATGCAAACTAATAAATAGCCCTTTACATGGTCAAATAATTTCTAGAGATAGGGTCTATTTGGTTGTAGGTATGCGCCATGCTCCCAATATGTTCATCTCAAACATTTTCCAAATTTTTTTGAAGTGGGGTCTCACTTATAATCTTCTATATCTATATCTCCTAAATAAACAAATATATCTTATATACATTCAACTCTCTATTTTTATAAATTAATTTTTTTTAATCATATATATGATTTTTTTCTTTTTGTATTCTACAAAATTTTATTCTTTAAAAAATATCATTCATATTGAATATACTTATTAAAAAATAGTTTTTAAAATACTTCAACATACATTTTAAATGTATTTTAAATCAAATATATATTGCATCATAATTTAAACATTAACCAAAAACCATCTCATTCCAAACAATAAAACCAAATTTTCAACCACGATCTTAAACGCTAACTAAACAGGCCCATAAAAGTTGTTATTAGGTGAAACTGTAAGTTCTGTCGATTTGAAGTTTGGTTTTATTAAGTATACTGCCATTTACTTGAAAAAGTAAAATAAATGAAATTTGCTTCAGAAACAATTAACTATCGATTGAATGGATATAACATTATTATAATAGTAAGATATTTTGTCATAATATTATTTTCAATGAACTATACTACATAGAGAAATCAAGTGAACTGAATTTCTTCTGAACTAACCATGGCTGAAGAATGCTTAATTATGATTGGCATATGCTTTACTGTGGCTTCAAACCACGGCTCACTTTCCAAGCGACACTTTTTAGATTCACAATCAGTTGAAGAAAGGCTCTCAAATGATGGAGCTGATGAGATTGTCTTCATTTTCACATGATCAGCAGTAAATGGGCTGTCAAGGAACTCATTATTTGAAAGGTCTTCTGTTCCTTTAAAACCAGAAATTGCCCGAAGGCATTCATCCAGAACCTGTATATATGGATCAAGGTCAAGTGATCATAACTATCATTTGAATTATACGCTAAACTTTAGATGGAAACTAAATATATTCTTAACCTAGCGTCTTTCCCGAACACCAAATATAAGAATATATTGGATAGTAACAAGCTAATTCACACTTTTTTTCTCTAACAGAAGAATTCCAATAAATGAAAGTAATTTTTCATCCGAATGATGTGATCTCCAAAAGTTCTAGGGATATAAGTTTTGATCAAGATATTCTCTATATATATTATGTGTGTCCCTACAACAAGTGTTACCTTGATCGATTAGGTAATTTACTTATTTTCAAATTTCAATATTGATTAAAGATTGGTTATGTTGGATACCTTAATTCTAGTAGAAAGCCACCCTTCTCATTAATTCAACCAGTTCCAGTGTTCCTTGAATGTGCCCATGAATTCAACCACGATTTTCTTGCTACTGATTTGCATGATTCATATAAATTATCTCAGACAATGTCCACTTCCAAATTCCCTAGAATCAACCTTGACACTTACCATTTAAACTAATGAAAATTTAGGGTGTATTCTTTTCCATTATTTTACTATCCAATCTTTTATTTTCCATTCAAAAACACCATATCCAATACCAATTTTCTATATAAATATCACATCTAACAACTATTTAATCTCAAAAACATCAAAACCAAAAACACAAAAAGAACACACTGGCAAACCCTTTAATTTAGATCTTCAAAATGCATGGACACCAGTTTCACCATCACTCATATGCTAACATATTATCAATCTCCATAACATAAAATTAATTACTTTACAGTCAAATCTGCAAATGTAAAGTCGAAATTATACTCCCTCTTCATCGAAAAATATGCCCGCTTTCTTTTTTTGATTATCCAAAAATATTATCATTTTCTTTTTTAGTAAAAAAAATATCACTTTTTTTACATTTTCTTTACAATAAAAGGAAAAGATTTCTATTTTTATTTTTTTCCCATAAAACCCGAGTCCGGTCAAACGAGCATAAATTTAGATGACGGAGGTAGTAAAATAAATAATAGGTGTAGTGAATTGCTCACATGTGCTCATGAATTGATAGAAGTAGGTTTTTTTAATGAGATTATATAGCAATGATAACAGTACTTCTACGATGATATTTGCAAATATGATAGTGATGATCTTTGCAAACATGTCAGTTTGCTTGATGAGCCTAATGATATGAACAAGCAAAGACATCTAGAGTCTAGACTAGTCTAATGATACTATGAATAATATGATAAGCAAAAAAAAGGATTGTGATGGTCCGAATATTGATGCTATCAAATTTCAAAAGACATAGGAGCGACTGTGGAAGGTTTCCTTGTGGAGGATTGCATTTTGCGGTATTCCTAGAGCAGGCCCGTGCTCAATTCACCAATTTAGTTTAATTTTTGTTTTTCTCGTCTTCAACTTTTACTTTCATCAAGTAACTTGCTGTCAACATAGGAGTTAAATTTCAATCTTCGTCTCAGATAAATAATTTCAGGATTGCTGAGCTTGCCTAATTGGAAGCAATTATTCATTGCATTCTTAAGAAAATTGAATTGTTCTTTATAGGACAAAAAACAGCTATCCTTCCTTGAGTCCTCCTACTCCATGCAGTGCTACTGGAAAGTTGACAAGTTAGCGATGCCCAACTACTATATCTCCTCAATTCAATGGATGCCGAGACCTCTAGTCTACTTTTCCATGTTATTACATGCTAGGTGGCATGTTAATATGCCAGACTTCCATACTCCAGTAACATACCAAAATGTACCATGTCTCAGAGGAACATTCCCGTCCAAGCAAGAGAATTAACTCATAGATTCCTTTATTAATTTTTACCCTTCTTCTCCCCTCAAACCAAACAAGCCTTTTAAAAAGTGAAACGGGGCTAAGAGGAATTGAATTCATTACAGTGACCTTTCTCGCAGGTCTCAAATATGCATTTGAACCTGTTAGGGCTCAAATCCTTGGCAATGAAAATCTTCCATCTCAGTGTAAGTATAATCTCGCTCTATTTCAAAGAAAGTTGTGACTGGAAATCCTCTCAATAGGTACCTCATCACATGTTCTCTCTTACAACCTTGAGAACTCGTGGATGCAAATGTGGTGGACAAGTTGATCATGGTAAAGGAACACAACCACATTCCACCGATTGCAATAAGGATCGCGATGAGAAAAAGACTTGTTGGGATAAATACCCACAGCTTTGCACGGCTCAATTGCATCTTGTTGAAACATATTTTAGATAATATTTTGGTTGATATTATTTAGATATTTTAGTTATTATTTAATCATGTCTATTAGAATAAGTGGTTATTATTTAGATATATCTACTAAATTAGGTTATTATTTATCTTTTATCCTTTTGTATAAAGTCTATAAATATCTTATAAATTTCTCCTATATCGTAATATGGTATCATAGTCACGTTTTCTCCGAATTCATCTGCGTAACTTGGAATGTACTCGGAGGATTGCCTTTCGAAAATGTGATCTATTATCACTTTCAAAATATATGTCATTCTAATCTCACCTATTTGCCACTTTTCAAATGCATCTGACCTATATTACTATCGCCACCATATTCCTATTATGAGACGACCTTTCCAACAAATATCATCGTCAGAAACTATACATGTAAGTTGACCGATGTGGTCAACATCGTCAACATTTGGTCAATGCCAGTCAATTTGGTCAACAGTTTTGTTGCCACCAACTTTAGCCACGTGTGAAGGGCGGCATCCAATTGCTAGAATCGTTCGGCAACAATATACCATAATATTTTCAACATATTTGTGAAGTTTCAGTTTTGATTAAAATTTTTGGTTTGGTATTTCAATTACTTATCTGGAGTTTATGCCGATTCATGGTTTAATTTCTTAGGGTTTTGCGCACCACAACGACATAGGATCGGTATTCAATTATTTGTCCGGAATTTCTGCTACTTGATTTTCATTTCTTAGGGTTTAACGCCGCCCCACGACAGAGAATCGCCGCTATCAAAAATTCTACTTTGATGCCTCCGCCGCGACAGATGATCATTGCCACCGCTGCCACGACAAAGGATCGTGGTTATTAAAAATCTTATTTTTGCCAAAACTTCAATTTATTAAAGTTACCACCGTTACGACAGAAAATCTTCGGTGCGTTCCCGTGACAGACGACTATTACCACTAGAAACTTTAATTTGGCCAAAATCTTAATTTCTTAGAATTTAGTGCCACACTATGATAGAGAATCGATTTGAATGTTAATATCTATTTACGAAGTCCGTCCATATTCAAATTCCACCTCCTGTTTATTTGGCCAAACTCGAGTTGGTTTCTACATCACCAACTTGTGTTTGAGGCGGGGTGTTGAAATATATTTTAAATAAATATTTTAGTTGATATTATTTAGATTTTCTAGTTATTATTTATTCATATCTATTATATTAGATTATTATTTAGATATATCTACTAAATTAGGTTGTTATTATTTGACTTTATCTTTTTGTATAAGGTCTATAAATAGACCTTAATGTCATATTATTAAGAAATATTTCAAAAATTTATCCTATGATGTAACACATCTCTTGAAAAATCAGTTGTGACAATTCTTTCGTATGTTTGCAAGGTCTTAGTCCAATTTGTACTTTACAATCCCGGTATGCTCACCTATTCTCCATATCTCATTTACCAAGTAATGTCATCTTGGACATACATTCTTACAGAATCTTAAGATAATGTTAGAACCTAAAATGGTGAATCATGTCAACATGGTAAACACCATCGTGTTCCTTTCTCTCCCTAATCCAATAATAGAGTTGATAAACCATTTACGCTATTTCAAAATGATTTGGAGTCCTTGTCAAGTAAAATCCAAGTTAGTGTTTCAATATTTTCTTATTACTAATGATTATTCTCAAAGGACCTTTTTTTTCCTTGCATTCATCAAATTTCTTTATTATTATTATTATTATCATTATTATCAAAACTAATTACCTAAAACTCAAGAATCTCACAATTTCCAATTTTATTTGTCCTACAATCATAGTACCTAAGTTTGCATATCTACCACATCAACCCAAATTCTATTTCCTATAAACATGTAGATATTGAATGCAGTGCCTCCATATCACATTACATTCATTAAGAAAGAAAATTAAAATCATGTGATAGGTAAATATCCAGTACAATGACAAACCGGGAAAATAGAATATGAAGGGAAAGTTCATGTAGAAAGGAAGGAAACTCACCTTAATAGCTGCTGTCATGACTCTCTCCTGAATTTGTGTGACACTCTGTTCAGGTTTACCTCTCCAAAATTTCACATGAGTATCCGGAAATGAGCTAAATACGCCATATACAAGAGAAGAAACTTGCTTCCAACACAACGCAATTACATTTGGATAATTGTGTGCCAATTCTTTGAGAGCCTGCATCCAACTAATCAAACCATAAACATTGAACTCAAAAAGTCTCTGTTAAAGTGTTAAGAAAACAAAAGGATAGTCCAACAGACAATTTCTCCCGCTTCAAATTTTTTTCACAGTTCTTCTATGTTGTCTATGCTAAACATGGAAATTGCAATTGTATCGGCTTTAATTCCACAAAAGCATATAGTGCAGGATTTTGTCGTGTGAAGAATAAGCTGTAAGTTAGGGCTTACTTTATGCATCTTACAACATTACATCAATCAATATGTTGTACATATCTATGATTTATTTGAAAATACTGACGCCTCCAGAAAGGTTTCCAAGGATAGAAAATTCATTGGGTCAACAAGAGATAATTCAGGAAATAATTGATCCACCCTCAAGCCCTTTTTTGTGTCAATTACATATGAAAGCGTGATATTACCTCATATATGCATTTCCATAACAAACATGCTTCTACTATTGACCAATAGTTCCCAAATTGTGACTGTTTTGACCTATCTTAAAAAAGATAGAAGTCATTCCAGGCATATGTAACACAACAAAGAGAGAGAGAGAGAGAGAGAGAGAAGAGAGACAGGACGAGAAAGAGCCTATCAAGAAAACGTAAATTACACCTAACCATTTTACATCTATTAAAGTTATCAGCATACAGATTCATGTCGGATCTCTTAATCCATATTGTGTTGCAATTTATATTTCACTTGGACATGACTCCCTTACTCAATTTTGCAGATTTTCATGTCTTATTCATTTGTGGCTATATGGCATACATTGTTGTAAATCTCAAAATAGCAGTAAATAACAGTCATATCCTAAAAAGCTTCTGCGGGATAGCAGTTAGTGGGAAAACTGCTATTTGAAGTTAAAAGTTTGTTCTCTTTACAACTATTCTCTGTTTTTCTACTATTCATGTCTCACATTTCCCAATAAAATACAACATTTCATTTCAAAACACATCATATCATATCACTATTTAAACCAATAACACATACAGACAAAAAATAAATAAATAAATAAAAAAATCCCCGCAAACCAAATACACTCAAAGATATGCATGCATACATTTATTATACATGTAAAATTACAATAGAATTGCATAAGAAAGATCTATAAATTAAACTTATAAATATCATTCAAACTAATATATGAAGCAAGAATGGTTGAATCGAGTAATAAGAAACTATGGGTGTGTTCTTTTTTGTGTTTTTGTTTTTATTTGGAAGTTTTTGAGATGAATTAATGTTTTGTATGAAAAATGAATGTTGAATGTGATTCTTTTTTTAGGGAAAATAAAATATTAATAGGAAAAAACTAAAAATGACAATACAAAAGAACAAGCACATATATACTTATTATAATATAAAATAAAATTATGTCATGATGTTAATATAAGAAAATTAATATTTTATATTATAAACACTAAACCTAATATTGATGCGCGAAAAGAAAAGATCATTTTCTAATAACTTGAATACTCAGTGATACATCTGATGATTATGAATCCATTGCACCAATCCATATATTCGAATCCGATCGGTACCAAACCGCACCATTGCAACAGACCGTAAGAGTGTACATGCGCTAAGATGGTGATGATGGCCATGGCTGAAGAAAACTGCTCCGCTCCGCAGTGGCGCATTAGCACGCTAGTGACTGCTATGTAATATAGAATCGGTAGCTTATCTAAGAAAGGATAAATTCTTTTTGGCTCAACTCTCGAAGATTGTCAAACCTGATTTGGAGATTAGATCGTGGGTACTACTAGTCTACTACATCAATAAGGGAGCTAGTTAATAGTTATATTTTGTCTAAGAAAAATTTGATTGGTATAGAATGTCTACAGCTATAGCCTACTTATTATAATATGTATATATTTCCGGCATCTATCATCAAATAACAAATTCCCACCTAATATTGTCATTCTTTGGACTAAAACTCTTGTTCATTCGTTACATTCAATCAGATTGTTTGGGTGTTTTCGTCTATCAAATTATTATTTGCATCCGTATGTGTTCTTATTATTTAGTGCTTAATAGTATTTTCACAACCCCCTCCTATTCATTTGCACAACAAAAGAAATAGCCACTAGTCTCAATGAATTCGACTTTGTAGATCGTTGTACTTGTGCACTATATGTTTGCACTAGCCAATATGCAACCATCTATTATAAAATATATGGATATGAACTGAAAAGGACAACTGCCAACTGAGAAATGTGAGGACATCATATAGGTGGAGATAAGATTTTGGAAATTTTATGCAGAGAAAGTTAACATCAATTAGTTATGGAAGTTTCCAACTGACCAACCAACCTAATCTTGTTAACTACACAACAAGTTTCATTAATGCAAGAATTGCAAAAACTCCACAGGTAACAAAGAGGATTCCTCCTATGTAAGTCAAAAACACAGGCTAAAGTAAGACTGTAATTAAAAATACCAGTTCATATTTCTACCCAACAGCATGTTAATACACATCATAATTTTTAAGAAGCATATTAACCACATTTGATGCTATTATTGGAACTAAATTTGCACAGCATAGATATGCAACATGTTATGTCAACCGCCAATTATAAACTATCAAAATGTTTATCAATCTAAACAATTATTACCTGAAAGGCTTCTAAGCTTATTGATGGACTGTGTAAATGTTCCGAACACTGAAACAAGGTATATAATACACCAGCTTGCGGGTGACTTTGAATAGATCCTGGTAAATCATATTATCAAAGAAAAATTAAATCAAAAGGCCAGTGACTCAAGTTCGGAACATTTAATTATATAGAAATAAAAAATGCATGAAAGAAGATAAAAACTGGTGAAGTTCCATGAAAGAGAACATATATACTCCTTAGACATAAAATTCTATATTTACCAAAAAATACAAGAAAAACTGTCATGGAAAACCCTCAAAAAGTCTTAATTGTCAAAATACACACCTATTCTTCTAAGGTACATTCTTCATCACTTGCTTCTCAGATTTTTTTAGATTAAGTAGTTTAGTATCATCTCAGAAAAGGGGAGAGAATGTGTTAAAAGTAATCAACATATAATTCTGAATATTCACAGCGAAAACTTCCCATCTTCACATAGATCGTTTCATTTAAGTAGATTTCAGTTTTTTTAGCTCTTGTAAACATCACTTTCTTTAATTCTATCATAATTTTGGTCATAAAGATTCATGTTTACAAATAAAAGTTCCAACCTACTTCAGATGTATTCTCTTGTGTTTGTGTTTTGGGTTTGATGTTTTTTTGGGTGAAGATAGTTGTTTGATATAATGTTTTTGTATCAAAATTGGTCTTGGATATAATATTTTTTAAAGGAAAATAAAAGATTGAATAGTAAAACATATAGGGTAAACACACACACACACACACACACACACAAAAAAAAAAAAAAAAACAAACAAACAAACCAAACCAAACCAATTCAATCAGATAAAATTTGGACTATTTATATAAGTTTCTCTCAGACTTATGAGTTACTTTGTTTATAGGTGTGAGAGCACACATACAGTTATTTGATTGTGTTTCTAGGACAAAATTCCGATAAAAATGTGTACTCTGTATTTATAGGTTTGGCTTATTCCTTCTTATTTCAACTTACTTTTTGTAAAGGAAATCCAAATTCTATTTACCTTACCTGCAACATATATGCCAGGGTGTGCAAGTGATTTTTCAAAATAAAATTGTTATACAAATTTAAACAAGTAAACATAGTTTACGTATGAAAATTGAAAAGGCTTAAGAAAAAAAAAAAAGCAAAATCCTAACAGTTAATATCTTATCTTTTATATAGGTTGGCTATTCACCTAGTTCAACAATGGCAAAAACACAATACAGTTAAACATGAGGCATATGACTATTCCATTATAGATAGCAATCATGTACTATAGAAGATTCTTGTAATTCTTGCATCCCACAGCACGGAAAAACAAATTTTTTCCATTGAAAAGGTCATTGCTCCAATAACAGCACTTATCTACCAATGATGCACCGAAACCAATAAAATGGAGCATCAAAATACCATTCCTTATTCAGTCCTCAAACATCGAGAATGCCTTAAAACATGATATGTAAGGAACACACGAAATGCAATTCCTCACTCAAACTCAGCAAAGAGGACATGTTTCATATGCACGAACTACAAACCTGTAGATAATTCATCCAGAAGCATTTTGTTGACACGTGTTGATGGCGGAGACACAGAAAGAGCTACAGTTAAGCAATTGATTGCTGGTGCCTGCAAATGTTAACCAGCAGTATCATATACCATTAGTTTCAAAATCCTGAGTTTGTATCAAATAACATTGCATTAAAAATAATAAGAAAATTTGTGAATGAGGAAATCGACTACCTCATGCAGGAATGCCAATATCACAGAATTATGTAAAACTGACTCAGAAAACCATGTATAGCAATGGTTAAAGTTTCGCACATATAAGGGGTGTGTTCAATTTTGTGTTTTTGGATGTATGAGCTTTTTATGTTTGGTATGGGGAAGTATATCGGTATGTAATGGGTTGCATTATTGACTTTTTGTGAGTGAATACAGTATAGATACTATATATATTGTATGGGTGTGCCGGTGTGGGTGTGGGTGCATATTATATTTTTTTGGTAATATTTATTGGAATCGTTTCACCAACAAAATTGTTAGGTGAACAGAGCCAAGATATTTCAAAGTTTAATGCGGTTAATGCAAGATAAAAATAAAAATAAAATTGATTCATTGAAAATGTGCCACATGTAAAATGTTCAACATAATACTTGATCACATTTAAACATATATATATATATTGCAGTCAAAAGGGAAAGTCTATGATCTGGGGTAGCAAAGTTCCATGTACAGAATCAAAAAGTATGATAGTAATTCACAGAAGATGCTTAAAATACAAAACACAACATTTTATTTATACGAATGAGGCCAATAATGTTAAAAATACAATCAAGTTAAAAATATGACATTGTTATAATTCTATGGATGCAGGAACTCCTCACAGTGGTGACAAAATGTCAATACTTCCTATTTATCCATACAACAGAAAACAAACCCAGAAAGAATAGATAATCAAGGACTCTTTATAGGTAAATTATTTTCTCAACTCTTAACTGTGTGGGGAATTCAACTATTTCTCAACTGCTTCACAGATGGTTTAGAAATTATCCAATCTAGATTAGATTATAAGTGGTACGCAAACCACAAGACAATAAATAACATAAAAAATTCTACAAGCCAGACAGAGAGTCCACCAATGATGATCAGGATGGAGTGTTATACTAACCAGCAAATTATTTCGATCACTTTGAAATGAAAATCCATTTTCAATTCTTGCATGAATTGACGAGATAACCATTGAGAGTAGCTCTGACGACATTCTTGAATACCTATAGGAGGAACTAGTATGGTTAGAAACGTTCAAATAACTATATTAACTGTCCTTGTCAAGTTTCCATCTTTTATTACTCAGAGAAAAGAGTCCCTGAAACCTCGACTTTACCTCACAATCCAAAAAGCCATAACCAAGAAACATAATAGTCCTTCACAGATAGGCTTCTTATGGAAGCCAAGAACTACGAGCCATACAAGCAGCAACAGCTCGCAAGTTCACTGTTCTAGTTAATAGTGATGAAAAAATGCCCCCAAAGTTACCACAGAAGTGCATCTTGGATAGGGACCAGAGGAGAACTAGTCTACTAGAAACGAATAGTTATTGACGAAGACAAAGGACTCACTAGATTGCCCAAACCGTGTGCTAACACAAAGTATGTTTATTTTGTTGAATGTAGTAACAACCATTTTTGCTAAATATATTCACCTAGTGCAATTTCACAATTTATCACACAAATAACTTACTTGCACCAGACTTTATTTTAATCAGAGACCATAATTACTCAGAGAAAACATTTGATGATACCTTATAGTAAACATGTCCAAAATGATGAAAAAGGTTGAGCAAACAAAAAACTATCACAAAACTAACTAAGCACTTACGGTGTAGATGACATCAAAAGCACCAGAATTTTGAACGTCAATGCCAGCAATCTCCTGTTTGTTTCTCGTTTGATTAAGTATAAAGTACCTATTTGTTCAGTAAAATTGTGCCAGTTATGCAATAAGAAAATTTTAGTTTCTACAAAATCTGGAAAGTTATGAAGCAGAAGAAAAAAGGAAGCACACGATAATAGCATTTCAATACCTGAATGCAGTTGCATTAAGATATTCCCGAGAGAACTAGAAAATGTTGTGAAAGAACCGCACTTGTGGTTGTCCCTAAATTCTGCTACCTGAAGAGAAACAGATGCAGGCCCATCCAACATTACCACAATGGCAGAACCAGCAGCAATCCGCACCTAAGCAACAATAAAAGTAACCTATCATATAAAAAGATGAATAAAATAATAGACTTATCCATTACAGTTTTGAGGAACTTCAGAAACATCTCATAAACAACCAAGATGGGATTATACGGTAAAAAGAAGATTGTAGAGAAGACACAGAATGGGAAAGGCATTTACAATTCATATATTACTAGTTTGATACAAACAGCATCAGTTATAAATCAAACCTTCAAATAAGGATCATAAAGTAGGCAACTCATCAGAGTAGTCTCATATTTCCTGCCAAAAAAAAGAGAGAAATCGCGATAAAAAAGTTTTAAGATCTTGTTGAAAGCAATTTGGTGACGCTTAATACATCATAAACAAGACAAAAGAAAGTAAAAAGATTGACTTGTGTTGTAGGACATCAGTGGATGGCAAGAGCATTGTCCATTGGGATGTAAACAATTTGGGATCAGCTTTGCAAAGATCCTTCAAACAAATTTCAAGAGTAAAAGAAAATATTAAAAATAAAATTGGATGGTGTAAAATGTAAACTCGTGAAGAATGCAACAATTGAGAGATTAACAAACCTGGATACAGAGAATTGCAGCTAACCTAGTCTCTGCAAATGGTGCAGCGCAATTATCTGACAATGATCCATCATTATCGCTACACTCTGAATCAGATGTTAAAAATTCCTGTTTGGGTGAACCCATGCCCTTCTCATCTTCTTGATGTTCACTTCCAACCATTTTTCTTCGTAAATGTGGAGGCCTATAAGGGCCACGTCTTAGCTTTTCTGATGATTCAAAGGTTGGCTTTTGGCTCATCGGAACAACTTCATTCATATTGATTGCTTGAATTTTAATACGGGAATCATTTACAAGACCATAACGGAAAAATTTCTTCAATGATGCTACAAAGGCAGTAACCTAAAAATAAGAAAACTAAAATCATTTCACAGAAATGGAATAGTACAAAAAATATAAAATACATACTTAATCGACCTGTAAGAAACTACTTCTTACATGCTCTGCCAGATATCCTCGGGGCTCAGCTAGAACACAGTGCAGACAATGAAGAAACTCAGCATAAAACCTGCTCATGAAATTCTTCTAATGAGCTAAATGAAATTTTCTTATGAACTAATTATACAGAGATAAGTTTGAATAGACAGAAGAGAAAAATACATGGCAATACTATTATCCTCCAATAATGAGCTTCTGGATGCACAGGTGTCCATGACTTCCCTGAGGACCTTAGGTAAAAAAATAAAAAATAAAATAAAATTCCTAAGTAATTCTAAGCCCGTATATATCCATCTCACAATGTGCACATACCTTAATAGTCGACTGCCACATCTTGAGTGACAAGGATGAACCCACTTTCAAGTAAATTTCACCAATCAATCCGAATGCAACTGTTAGTAATTCCCATACACCAACAGGTACAGTAGGGTTCTTGCTTAAATAAGATGAAGATGAGTGACTTGCTGCCACTTGAAAATGCTCAACCACTTGAAGAACCAACTTCAGAAGTTTCTCAATTTCCAACAGCAAATCAGTTGACTGATATAGACCGAAAAATAACCTGAAAGTAGATAAGTGACGGGTGAAGCTTAACGCACAGATAACAAATAGAGTGAAACTTAGACGAGAGATTAACTAGTACTAACACAGAGCAGCAAGCACTCCATGAAATAAAATTTACAAGCATCACATTTGGAGCAATTATATTGCATTCATCTTAATCAAGTGGGGGAGAGCATAGCCGCACCTTAGAGTATTTAAACATTGTGTTGTAACTTTAATGACTTCACTTCTGACTAAATTGCGTTCTCTCTTGGCTTCATCAAATAAAATGAGCACTATCCTTTTAAATGAATCAAGCATAGGAGTCCAATACGTCGAGTTTATTTCCGCAAAAGAACAGTGGCTGATGTCCTGGATCTGCAACAAAAAAGGCACTGTATAACACATCCCTATATACTTTTATTGTGATCATATTGCCTCAAATTTTTATGCTTTAACCGAAAGAAAAGGATAGCTCCTCCTGAATCTGAAACATTATAATATTACGTTCAAAGTTTCAATATATTTCATTTTAGGAGTTTTGAAGAGTTATACATTCTTTTCACATGAACTGTCTTTCTTATAACAAGAAAGCTATAAAATCTCATACCTGGAATCGACTGAGAACCTTTTCCATTTGCAATATGATAGCATCACAATCATAACTTTGATCTTGAAGCAAAGCTGAATTCAATCTTTCTTTATTGTAGTCCTGGCAATAAGCAAAGGTCAAGACACCTAATTCAAGCTCAAATAATAGAAACACATTCCCATATAATTCGATCCTAAAAGTCCAAAAACCATCACTTTGAGGGATACTTGACATGGAACAAAAATTTTGAACTTTTCAAAACCTTAGTCCTCAATACCTAACCATAAAAGAAACTCCAACGGGACAAAAATTCAAGGAAAATGCACTAGATCAGAACTGAACAGAATCGGTTTCAAATTCCCTAAATTTCTGCACCTTATCTTGGCAGCTACCTTCAAGTCCACACGCGCGCAAACCAGATGAAAGAAATGAAGGGGTAAATCATGAAATGCATAGATTACTGTTCGCAAACCTTTTCAGCTTTACAATCTTCTTGAAGCTCTTGATCCTCCAATCCTTCCAACGATACATGGCCGCCGCCAACCATGCTTGTCCACTAGATACGCTGAAACGATGAGATCGACACCGAAACTAAGGAAGTAGCAGGTTATCGCGATCGGTGAGAAAGGATTCGAACTGATTCAGACAACCTTTAGAGCAGAAGCAGTGGCCCAATTACTTACCCCGTATTTAGAAGGGTTCTTCTTCAGGCGTCAGAAAAAATTCATAGGCAGCGGTGAATACCTCCATTGTAAAATTTGGATTCAGAATCGAGAGGGCCTCATCTCTTCTCTATTTCTCTTTTCCTCCAGGCTACAATGGGTGGGTGGCGACGGGGTTGGGAAGTTGTAGACCAAGTTTGGGTGAATTTTGGGTCAAAATTAAACCGACCTAAAAATCGAGCCAGTTGGACCTGATGAACTTGTTGTTTGCAAAAGATGTAGTCGACTCCAAAAAAAAATTATGTTCTTCGTGGTTTTATGTTTACTACTCTTTTTTTTTTATTTTTTAAAATATTATATTAAAGAAAAAATTATATTATACTAAAAATTATTTTACATTTAAAACGTCTCAATATATATTTATATCATATTAAACAATTATTCAAATTCAATTTTTTATTATTCAAATATTCGAATCCAAAATCTCAAATCCACAAATAAACACACCCATAAGTGTCTGTATTTGCATCGAGTTTCGAGTTCGTCCTATAATCCAAAATATGAAAATCACATCCAGATTGATATGAAATTGTTTTTAATTTAAATTTAAAATATTTATATTATATTAATTATAAAATAATATAAAATTGCAATTTTTTAGATAAATTTAATTTTTTTTTTTTTTCGGGTCGGGTTGTTTAGATTTCAGATGTATAAAAACTAATTAAATTGATATGAATCCGACCCAAAAAAATTCATATCATATTCAACCATCACATTTAGGGTTTCGAGTCAAATTTTGGATTTGAATTACTTTGTTACACTCATGATTCAATTTGATACGAACACGATTCAAAAATATGAATTGACATCTTTATTTAACCTTAATACTGCAATCAATTTTATATATTACGAGGCTTTTATTTTTTTTAGCCAGTGTGCGTGCTCTTACAAAAAAATGTGATTATTAGGTAGCGGAGATTCAATTCGAGTAGGTTTTAACTTTCATGGATTTTGTATAATTGTATTTGTATGACAATTTTGTAGGGCTTGGGTTTGTGTTTTATATCAACAATTTTTTTCTTGTTTTTATTAGGCATTAATAATTGTATTATTAATATAAAAAAATTATTAATATTTTTTAAATTAATGATTTTTATTATGTTAACATGGAGTATATTTTTTTTAAGAATAATATTTTATAGGTAACTGTATTGGTTAAAAATACAATATGAACAAATTCATAGTGTTTTACCCTATAGTATAGGATACTAGGAGTCCAAGAGCAGTGAGAATTTAATAAGGGTGTGATTGTTTGAGGGTTTGAATTTTGAGTCGGGATTTGAATAGTAAAAATTTTGAATTTGAATAGTTGTATGATGTGATATAAATAAAAATTGATGTGATATTTTGAATATAAAATTGATTTTTAGTATAATATAAAAAATAAAAAATAAATGTTTGATTTAATATTTTTAGAGGAAAAATTTTATGGAAATAGTAAAAATCCTACAAAATCCCTCAAATAAACACACCCTAAATATGCAAAAAGTTTTTACTTTAAATAATTATTTGATTTGATATGAATATATATTATTATGATATTTTAATTGTGATGTATTTATTTGTAGGATTTTGCTTTGAATTTTGAATATAAATTAAAATTTAATATAATATAACAAAAAATAATAAATATGTAATTTGATGTCTTGAGAAAAAATAAATAAATAGTAAAACCTAGTTAAAATCCCACAAACAATCAATTTAATATATTAATAATTGAAATAAATACTCATATCCCTCCAATTCAATAAAATTTCTATTTTTTTATTAAAAAAATAATAATATTTTATTAGTTAATAAAAATGTATATTATTCATTTGTTATTTATTTAAATATTTTAAATTAGTAAATTATTAATAACAAATTATAATATTATTTTATTATATTTTATATGAATAATATTATTGGTACTTTAAAAATATGAATTAATATATGATTAAAATATTTAAAATTTGTATTTAAATATTTTTAATATTATATCTAAATAAAATATATTTTTTCTATCCAAAAATAAGCTTTTTAGTTTTTTTACATGCAAATTAAGATAAATTAATATTTTATACATATATAATAATAAAATAGTATAATATCTATTTTACCATTGATATTAAAGTAAAATATTGTAAAAGATTAAAAGTTAAAATTAAATTAAAAGTTTATTCTTGGACAAATGACGTACTCCCTCCATCCCACCACAATTGACACTATTTTTATTTTTGTCTGTCTCATAACAATTGACACCTTTCTATTTTTGGTAAAAACGATTAAACCAAAACATATTTAACAAATATAAATCAACTTAATTAACTACATAACATACAACATGATGTAGGACACACTCAAAACCCCTTTATTTCTACATCTCTCCTCAAAAAAATAAATATTTTTAGATATTTAAAACTACACATCTTTTATAAAATTAATTTATGTTAATTATAAATAAACAAAAATGTTTTTTTATTTGCTTGTATTATAGAAGATTTTATTCTCTGCAAAATGATATCCATATTGCATATATTTTTTAATTGCTATATAATTTTTAAATATTTAAACATATATTTAATTTTTTTAATCATATATATTAAATTTATTTTAAAAATATAAATATTATTAATTATACAAAAAATAATCTAATAATATATAACTAATTATTATTAACTAATTAAACATCCTTACCTTAAATACCGTGTCCCTAATCAAAGGGTTCAATTCCGGTGGGACGGAGGGAGTATATAATATCGACATTATTTTATAGAATAATAAAATTTTATACTGTATAATACAAATAAATAAACAAAATATATTTATTTATTCATAATTAACTTAAACTAATTTTATGAAGAAAAAAAATGAAGTTTTAAATATTGATTAAAATATTTGTTTATTGAAGAGTGAGATAAAAATAAAATTTTCTTGAGTAAGTCCTACGCATATCATGTTAAAATTTTAATTAAATTAAATTATATATATTAAGTATATTTAATACGAATAAATTTATTAAAATAGAAATGATCATTTTTTTTTACTGACTAAAAAATACGGATAATCTCTCATGAGCCAGAAGCAATATAAGATTTAGAAATATCATATAAAAATTGATTGGATTTTGATACTTAGATATAAATTACTAGAAGAAATAAATGTTTGGGTGGCCTAACAAAATATTAATTAATCTTTTGAAAAAAAATAATATATATTCAAATTACTTATTAATGTAATTATCCACTAAAATACTAAAATTTGGATATCAAAATATTTCATAACACTTAACTTTAGAATTTGAAAAAAAATTTAAAAATAAAGCTAAAAACACACGTGTTGTCCCACTAAAATATCCTTCATAATTTACTCTTTTTTATCTCCTTTAATTTTAATTCCATCACCTACAATTATTTCTTCTCAAATTCAGAAAAAAATACAAAATTAATTAAAAATAACAATTCATTATCATTCCCTCAACATTCTTTACATTAATATATTATCCTTCCATAAATATAATCATTAGCACAATGTAACAAAATCATAACCTAAATGCATAATATAATGATAACCAACATAAATGAAATTTGAAATTTATAGCAAAATTCATGCATATGTCATAATTAGTTATAAATTAAATTTCATGACATTAAAGAGAGTAATAAAATAGTGAATTATTTTAAGCATATATCAAAGCTAAAAATTTGAACATAATTATTTCAATTAACTTGTCAAACTTTAAAAGTCAGTGGGAAAAAAGTCAAATTTTATGAAGTATAAATTCAATTTAGTGTTGTTATCATATGTTATACACTAGATCAGTTAGTTAATGTTGTGTTATTGTCATTTGATGGTTGATTTCCTAGATATTGAATAACATGTTCTTATACTTACAATCTTGTATGGTAGAGATTATGATTGGTAGAAGATATAACAATTAAAAAATTCTATATATAAATGAAAATAGACTTATTCGACATCTTTAGTTGCCCATAACTTAAAAAGTCACACCAACATTGATTTAGGGATGCATGAACTGTTTGAACAACTTAGACAACCAAAATCATATTGGGTTTTGTTGAATGTTTTAAGTATTCAGAAGCATCATAACATATGAAGTCTGTCTACGCTTTTATATTTTACAATATTTTGAATGCAAATGAAGCATATAGTAAAATATTTGTTTTTTATGCAAATGAGGTACATATTGAAATTGTCTATTTCTGTAATAGAAAAATAAAAATATATTTTGGTCATTTTGTATATATAAGTCCTAATATGTTTGTAGTCACATATTCAATATTGAATTTTATTTGTTACACCAAAATTAATATGCAAATGATAAAAAAAAAAATAAATAAATAAATCACTATGTAAACTAAAAATACATATTCTTATGAAGTGAAAATTGAATATTAAAAATTTTGTCATGTTCAGTATTGATAGTATATTATTTTCAATGTATATGTTGGTTTTCAAATTATTTTCTTATGTCATGTTTTTTTTAAAAAAAAAAATGCCAAAAAAAAAGTTGGTGGAATGTATGAAATGCAAACATCATTTAGAGCGTTTCATAAATTAATATCACAAATGGAATTGTTTAGTGTATAATAAAAAGGAATGAAATGAGATTTACCTATATAGAATTTTCAAATTTGTGTAGGCTGTAACTAAACCAAAATGAATGTTAAGTACCTTATGGTCTCGGAAATTAATATAATCAAACCCATGCAATTGTGCTTACGTGTGTTTCAACATAACTCTTGCACCGCTTCACAATGCAAATATACAAAATGTATTTTGTACGTATACACAAAAACATAATTAAATAATATTAATGAAAACAAAAATTAAATAGATAGACTAACTATTTTTAAGAAAATATACAACGAGCAAGAAGAAAATATTGAAAAGAATTCAAATAGTATGACATCATTAACCTTAGAACTCAAATCACTGAGAATAATGATAAAATGGTTTGTAAGGAAAAATGACTGTTTGTTAGTCATAAAATTGTTCCGAAATCACAAGTTGTTCAAAACTTGAAAAATATAAACTAAGTTAATTGAGTTAATTTTATTTTCACTCAGTCAAAATATCCTTCTTAATTGCATCATCCTTCATATGTCCTAAAGTTTTAATTCTATTTTAAAACATAATT